AAGACAAATTACAGTTTACATGTTTTTACAGACTTTCCAGACTTTGAAGAAATAATACACAATGTAAAATTAAAGTTTATGCCAAGTATTAATGGTGTTTTGTGGTTAATGCCTGCTCCATGTGGCTGGTGTCTTAGTGCTGCTTCATATCTTTCTAATCAAAGATGTTGCAGAGTCACACTGTGGACACAGAAAGTAACTGTCAATATCATAGAACAATCCCAAACACCCGAGGAGGGAAACAATCTTCATAATATTCTGTGGGCGTGTGTTTGTTGGAACTATTTTATTTTATTTCATTTCATGTTTATGCAACACATCCGTACAGTAATTCTGAAAATGAGGGTTTTGTATTGAAACCAATTTGCTGTATTGTAATTCATCACATTTTCAGTTGTGTGTTGTGTAATATCTGTTACGTAATGAAAGTAACACAAAAATAGCAGTCTGTTATTTGGCTGATGGCCACGAGTAGGAACACTTATATTGCAACCACAGATAGAATCATTTTCATGTTCACAACACAAACGACAAAGACGATTACATAAGCAAGAGGGAGTGCTTGTTTCAAAAAGACCCCCCCCCCCATTTTCCCGCACAGTCTCCGGAGTTATCATATTTTAATGATATGCTCCGCACTGTGAGCTGGCTGAACTAAAAATATTGGACTGCATGGTTTAGGAGAGGACTGTTGGGCAGATGGGATTGTTGCTGTCCCCAAGGCATATCTGTCATCCCAGATTAAATGTTGTGGGGTCTCGTCAGTACGTCAGTAACAACATGGCACTGCTTTGTGCCTTTGGCTTAATGAGAAACTAAAATGTAAGTAAGTTTTTCTGGCTGGTGGACACAGTGTCATATCAGCCCCCACTGTGGAGGAAAAAGAAAACTGAATTTTAATGTTGGCTGAGAGAGAAGTAAAATATGCTGTCATATCCACTGGGGGGGGGGGTTCTGTCGGTTCCATGTGTGTATTGGATATCGGATATTTCTTGATTCTCAGAAGCATGATCAGAAACACAAAAGCATGAAAAAGTGAATTATCTTATTAGAATGCAGCCTGGGAGCTGTTTTTCATAATTCCATCTAGCTGCTTTGAAGAAAGTAAACACAATAAGGAGGCTTTATCTTGATTTCAAAAGAAAACTGTTCCCTCTTCCACCCCTTCTGCTGTCTGTCAGGGAATAAATAATCTAGTTACAAAGAAAGTCTGCGTGGTGCAGATCTCATGAAAGCAATTCAGCTTTTTCTCAATGTGCAAAAAATTATTGAAATATCCATGTTAATACCACTTGTTTTATGCCTTTCTCTGCTGTCCAGTTTTTAAGTGCTTCTGCAACAGCTGCATTACAGCTGTGAAAAACAAAGTCTTAAATTTGTCCTGTTATGTTTCAAGAGGGACAAGCGCATAGAGAGAAAAAGATTCTGGATGTCGTCGTAAATGATCAATAAATTACTTTGGTTCCATTTAGGGAGCAACCTATAGTGTCTCAGCTGTTACAGACATTCCACAGACGCATAGTGAACTTTTCTCGGGCTGTACTTTTGGTTGTCCATTGAGTGCCACAGATATGCATGGTGCTTACGTGTCACACCACTGGCAGGTTTTGAATAATATTGTTTGAATTACAGTCTTTGTTTCCTGTGAGGATGCAGTGTAACAGGATAAATCTTCCCCCCGCCCATCGCAACTCGGTCAGCAAAGTTTGATTCAGGAGTTCCTGCTTTATTGTGTCTGGCCCTGGGCAGGGGATTGTCATGGTAACATCCTTCCATACAGGATCTGACACCCATGACCTTGTTAGATGGATGAGAAAACTGATTCACCCGCCCCTGTCAATATCAGCCCTGCTGTATGGTGAGTCATAGTCCCAGTTTTATTTGATGAAACACAGGCTTGGGTCACTCATAAAAGCTCTGAATCACCACGCATTCTGTTGTTAATAAGTTATAGCGGACATGAAGACACAGTTAGGCTCTTCCAGAAGTCACTGTGCAGTGTTGGTATAGTCATTATTTGTTTATTTTGATTTGTCATCGTCCAAAGTCAAAGATTGAGTAACTTCCTCAATCCGAGATATCTCACACTATGTGTATGGGTTATCTCCTGCGAAGTACACACTATCCAATGATGTATCGAGGCCAAGCATTGTATAATAATCCTCTGACAGGCTTTACACGTCAAACAGAGCTGAATGAGCTATCTCATCTCAGCCAATAGATGAAATATTGCTTTAGCAAAAATCACTTAATCTGGTTTCGCTGGCTGAGAGAGCTCTCTACTATTGCAAGATCTCCATGGGAGAAAAGCAGATTTCTAATAGCAGTCAGAAGCACAGTCAAGAGCAGATAGAGTCCTGTAACAAACTATTTCCAATTATTTTCCTTAATGCTCATATCTACGTCTTTTTACTACTTTTGGTTTAGTGCAATAGATAACTACAGGGCAATTATTTTCATTATCAATTAATCTGCTGATTGTTTTCTCCTTTTATTGATTTTTCATTTAGTCTATAAAATGTCAGAAGATAGTGAAAAATGTCTGTTTATAATTTCCCACACCCCAAAGTGATGTATTGTTGTCTGATTGAACAGACTTTAAAAGTCCAAAACCAAAAGATGTTCACTTCACTGTCATGTACGACAAAGAAAAGCATCAAATCCTCACATTTAAAAAGCTGGAAATAGCAAAGTTTTGTCATTTTTGCTTGAAGAATTACTAAAGCAATTATTTGATCATTGAAATACTTTGCAATAATGTTCTGGCAATTGACTAATCGATTGATCAACTAATCAGTACTGCTGTAGATAATAATAAACTCCCATGCAAGCTCCTTCATCATTTCATTTTCCAGGTACTTTCCATTTGATTCTAATAACGTAGTCAAGAGAAGATGCTCGTGGTCTTGCTCCAGTGGGAACAATTCACCACTAACTAAAGATCTTTTAAATTAAACATTTTTAAAGCCTTGTCTCTAGAAAATCTAGAGGCCCTCATGTATTTATAGTTTCAATTGTCAGCGGTGCGTCTTAATATCCACCCATGTTTTGCATGAGTTTCCTGGCTTATAGTGGAACATATTTTTTGCTATCTTTTGCTTACTTCAGTTACCAGATTTTAACTGCATTGGTAAGGTGTGACTAAGTGCGCATGAGATCCATAACCGAATCGCAGAAATAGTCAAGTTGCTATAAAACGAGATTAACAACCACAATACTGTAAGACTTGCATTGTTCCCACCAGTACTTTTTTTTTTTATCTGAATAATCTTTATGCATTTGAAGGCATGAGGCGTAAAAAAAAACTAAATAGTGTTCTTTATTCCTATGTAAAGTTTTAGCTACTAATTTGTCTTTGATTGCTTTTTTTATTAGCATTTTCTCTGTATTTTTGTCCAAGGTTTTCAGTGTTTAATCTTTCACTTTTAGAGTCATGTCTTTTGTCTGAAAACATGATACTGTCCTTGAAAGACCCAGAGCAGGCTTCATTTGTAGAAATAACTAGCCATGTTATGTAACATGCAGTTACCTGTGTGATGTTAAACATTCATAGCGCTCATGGAATGGCTTCTTTTTAATTGTTATTTGAAGAACACACCATACATTATCCATGGACTTGATGTTAATGTATTCAAGAGCTCGTTATAATTGTGAGAATGTGCACTGGTCAGTTGGGATGAAGCGAATTATAATAATGGATTTTTCTTTGTCTTTACGCCTCCATTAGATTCATGATTTGCATTAAAGTGGGGCTTAAAGAAATGTAACAAGTGTTTCAAATTTTACCCAAAGGGGCCTGGGCTGTGTGATATATTGAAAAGGGTTTAAAATAGGGCATTTTGTACCGTGTAATTTAAAAAAAGGATGTGGCTTCCTGATGCTGTAAAGTGTGACCTGGCAGTCTGAGAAAACAGGATGCGTCTGATATGTATGCACTGGTGCCGATAACCTGAGTCAATGTTTGTGCCCACGCTTTAAAATGTCAGTCTTTGTTACTTTACAAAGACGGAACAGAATAATTTTTAAAACTTTTGTGTGTAGCATGATTTACTCATTAAACAAGATTAGAAGTGACATAAATAATTTAGTTTCCATTTAAACCCGTTTTTAATATCATGTCTTAATACTCTTTTCTGACATCTTATTTATTGCCTGTATGTAGTGCAGTAGAAAGAGAGTGACATTATTTTGTTTGTTCTTGTTTTATGTACTCATACACTTTCAATTTGAAATTAGTTTCAACTTTCAGATTCAAGGTTGTTTACATTCATATTTGATGTAAAGAGTATAGAAATTGTAGCCATTGTAGTAAATATATGAGTCTGAAAAACCCAGAGCCATTGGTCCGTCATCGGCAGATGTGAACTCAGCTGAAGCACTTTTGATTGCCATTTTCCATATAACTGCTCTAGTTCCCTCGGATTTAGTACTTTGAGGTTTTGATTCAGTGACAATATCAGTACCTTTATCTCACCTAAGCCTGGCTGAAACAGCCAACTACAACACAGGGCAGCAATTTAGACATAAACTCTCTTAATCCTCTTCACTTCTGCCTCTCTGCTTTTCAATTTTTACAGGTCCAATTGTGGGGTAAGAGGAGGCAGATCACTGGTCCATAGGATAGATTTGCTGCAAAGTAGAGGAAGTTTGCCACCTAATGGAGACAATGTAGCACTGCCTTCCCAATTCATTTTCTGCCTTACAAAGTTTATTCTTCAGCTTCTCTCTATCTGCCCCAATATACCTTCTACTTCAGTTGAGCCGTGTGTGTGATAAGTGTAATTGTATAATGGTATCTATTTTTACTTGTTTAGGTCAGTATTTTGGTCCTGTATGGACATAAAAGTTTCTAATATAATTTTGTAAGTAACTACTCTGTACAGTTTGTTTAGGTGAAGTATTTGTAAAATTATTAGCATTAGTATAAATTAAATTAAAAATAGATTAAGTTTTTTAAAGATGATTTCATCTATACCTTTCTCTCGTGTTTTCTTTTTCAGGTCCCGTATCCCCCACATTTGAGGCTTGAATAGTGTTCATCATTGCTGTCCTGCAGTTAGTTCCTGTGGCCTCCTGTAGCTTCATGGCGGGGTTTCCTGTCCACTGACCCAGTAGGCTGCCTTACTGGACCAGCAGCCATGTCCGCCTGCAGCACATTCACCGAGCACGTGTGGAAACCAGGCGAGTGCAAGAACTGCTTTAAACCTAAAAGCCTGCACTGTCTGGCTCAGAGTGGTGGAGGGAAGCCTCCCTCTGAGCAGAGGCCTCCAACAGCTCAGCAACAGAATCCACCCCTTGCTGGGGCGAGAGCCAACCCTAACCTTACCAACAACTCTCAGAGGGCTGGCAGTGGGTCAGCCCGCTCAGGCCACTTCCGTCCACCGGTGGCTAAGAAGCCAACCATTGCTGTAAAGCCTACTATGATGCTGCCCTGCTCCTCTGCAGGACTAGATTTAGATGGCAACCTGCAACGACCACCAAATGTAATAGAACAAGGCAAAACATCTGCCTTCACAGTCTGGAATCGCAATGGACTGAACCGTAAGAGGCCTGGTGGGCCCAGCAACAACAATGAAGGAGAGGATGGCAATGAGGAGATTGAGGGTTATGGACAACTTAGCCCAAGGACCCCTAGTGGAAATAACAATAGTGGGCTGGCAGATGTTCTAAAGGAAATTGCTGGGTTAGGACCTGGCCCTAGCAGCCCCACGGCCCTTTCAGGCTCCAAGGACATTTTCTGGGGAAGAATCAGTACTTCATACCAACGTTCTTTGGAAAGAGGCCTTCCAGCCTCAAGCTGTCTGGCTATTGGAAGCAGCGGTAGTGGTGGTGGTGGCAGTGCTCATAAACGGGTATCCCTTAGCGACAGCACTGAGATCATTAGCACAGAGGGTGGTCGCTTTTGCTACCCAGAGTTTTCCAGTGAAGATGATGAGGATGAGGATGAGGATGATGATGATGAGGAGGAAGACACTGAAAGGGATGATGATGAACATGAGAGCTGGGATGAAAGTGATGAAGAGTTACTAGCCATGGAGATCCGTATGCGAGGCCAACCACGATTTGCAAATTTCCGTGCTGCCACATTGTCTCCAGTGCCCTTTGCTGCAGGGAAAAAGTGGAATACTGTGCCACTTCGCAACCGCTCACTACAGCGGATCTGTGCAGTGGACTATGATGATAGCTATGATGAGATCTTAAATGGATACCCCTCCATGGACTCCAATGGAGGTCTTCTTCCCTATGGGCCTCATGACATGCAAGGCAGTGGTTTTCTATCAAATTCAGAGTCTGCTACTTCCCCAGAATCGTCATCATCACTACCAGAAGATTCTCGAACGACTTCCAGCAGTGGGAGCAGTGCCCTCTGTGCTCTTCGAAACGGCCTGCATTCTCCCACCTCTCCTAAAGCACCTGCCCCCTGCACTTCTCCATCAAAAAAGGAGCCTGTCCACAGAGCACTGAGTCCAATCAAGATGACTGAAACACACAAGGCTGTCTTGGCAATTAGATTAGAAGATCAGGATGGCAGAGAAGGCATGCCAATGCCTCAGGCCCTTCCAGGTCAACCAGTCACTATCAGTTTTAGTCCCACAGAGGAGCAAGCAAAACCATACCGTGTAGTGAATTTGGAGAAATCGCTGATTTGTAAGCCTTACACTGTAGTGGATGTGTCAGCATCCATGGCCAACAAAGATGAACAAATTCAAGATTCTACTCCAAAACCGAAAAACCTGTCAATGCCTTCCAGCCCTACATCATTCTGTACCACTCCTTTAGGTCAGCCCCTGTCTCCAGCCTCTCCTATTTCTCCATCTTCTCCTGTGATGCCAACATCACCCCCATCTCTTGCTCTGTCAAGTTCCTCCCGAAAGAAATCAGGGAACATACGCTACCAAGAAGTGTGGACATCAAGCACAAGTCCTCGCCAAAAGATACCGAAAGTGGATCTGGGGGTTGGCAGTACTCCTGGCCCCTCCATCCCTACACAACATTTCAGCCACAAGTCAGCTCCCACTTCTCCCATAGCTGGGCTGTCTTCCTCCAGAACTGTACCTGTGAAATCCCCCAATTTATCAGAGATCAAGTTCAACAGTTTCAATAATGCAGGCATGCCTCCTTTTCCCATTATCATTCGAGATGAGCCAGCCTATGCCCGTAGCTCCAAGAATGCAGTCAAGGTACCTATTGTTATCAATCCAAGTGCATATGACAACCTAGCTGTGTACAAGAGTTTCTTGGGACTCAGTGGGGAACTCCCACAGCCAAAAGGGGTAGGTAGTAGGGTAGCCAGCCATACATATGAAGAGATTGGATCCTCTGAGAGTGTCCAGTCCTCCTCAACAGAGAAAACTATCTCTGGTAGAGGCACATCAGAGAGAGCCTCTTTTGAAGAGACAAAAGTTCTACCTGAAGCAGTGTCAAGAGCACCAAATTTACAACCTAGAACCACTACAGACTCTAGCACTGTGACAAGCACTGTGATGGGCTCCACAGTTGGGGCCTTCTCTCCCACTACATCAACAAATTCCCCTGCCATTCTTGCCATTACTGCAAACCTAACTAAAATCAGCCCTACTGCTAATGCTGTAACACGCACTTGCAAGACAAGTGGAGATGCTACTTACATTAAAGATGATGATACAGACGTAGCTTTGTCTTCTGTGGCAGTGGTCAACCATAGGGAGGAGGCCAGCGCTGTACTCTCACAGATTGTAGCCTCTATCCAGCCTCCCCAGTCTCCTCCAGAGTCGCCCTCAGCACAAGCCACAACCTTTAGTTCTGAGGAGCTGTATGCCCTACCACCTGATGCCATGAAGGAGACCCTCATCCGACCCAAGTCTCTCTTTTCCACAACTGATGGTTGTCTTTCCAAGCCCAAAAAGGACACACCTTCAAAGGTTTTGTCCAAATCCCAGAGTGCCTCTGCTGCTGTTCCACTCTCCAGCCCCCGCTCAGAGCTCAATGCCCCCTTCCCCCCTCCTAGATCTACATCTTCCCCATACCATGCTTCTAACATCCTCCAGAGACATTTTGGCAACTGGACCAAGAACTCTGCCTCCAGTTCTCCTGTACGACCCAGTGAAGGTGAAGGAAGTCCAGGTGGAGAGGGGAGACGTATTTCAACAGAAAGCTCCAAACCCAAACGCTGGATCTCCTTCAAGAGCTTTTTTCGTCGGCGGAAAGATGAGGATGAGCAGAGGGAGAAGGTGGAGAGAGAGAAGGAGAAGGGCAAACTGGTTGGACTTGATGGAACAGTCATTCACATTCTTCCACCACCGCCAATCCAACATCATCACTGGTTTACTGAGGCCAAACCAGAGGATCCCACCCAAAAGCCAACCATCATTTTCACCTACAAACCAGACAGCGGCAGCACCCCTTGTGACGGAGAAGGAGAACTGCGAGTAGAGGAGTGCAGAGAAACTTCACAACTGACACCTGATGAGCGCAAAGAACCCAGACCTTTGAGCCCAGGACAAACACCCCCCTCCCACAACACTGGAGTTGATCTCATCAGCAAGGACTTCAGGTATTTGTTCAAGGTTTTTATTTACTGATCTGATACCAGCATATTGAAAAATGACCCAGTGACCGCAGTAAAGCCTGTATCAGTAGTACTTCATAGTAATGATTAGGTTTAAAACTAGGGTTTAAACAATTGATAATATGAGGTAAACATAACTTGTTTTAGATTTGGATATGAATACTGAATAATCTGAAACATGGGCAATAGTGGATGGGTCTTTGCATAATTAGCAAGGGTTAGTGAGGACTAAAAAATGTCATCATTTTCTAGGTATGCTTATGTGCTTGGAGTAGAGCTAAGACCTGTTGGATTATGGCCCTCACACTATTGCCATTGAAGTCTCATAAAAAGATTAACCTTAGAGAAGTCCACCAGTTCCACCAGAAAATGAAGTTGACAGGGATTTTGAAGAGGTTAATGATAGTTAATGAGTTTGAAGTGTCGTAAGGTGATATTACTTTTACACAAATAGTTATTAATATGACTTTTGTCTTTAAGGCTTATAGAGGAATTCTTAGTCATTTATCAAATCGGTTCACACATGTTCTGCCTACATCCCCTCCTGCTGGTCTAATAAATGCTCTTGCATACAATGCCTGTGTTAACATTACCCAGCATCCCCTTCAGAGCACTTGTGGGGCCCAGCTTAAAATGAAGATGCTCAACCTTTGCCAGCTGCTCCTCCAAAGTGCCAGGGGTGCTTCTCCTTCTATCATACAGATCCCTCATCTCAGATTCTAGAGGTGTTTGATCTTAATTTGGCATGTCTGCTCGCCCACTTGCCCAGCAGACTGTGTGGGCTATACAGTCCGTGTGGTCTCTTCCTTAATGTCATCCATTACCTGAACAGCAGGCTCTGTGCTCAGCCTTTCTCCCTTCAGGAGTCGACCTGTGACAGGTTTTCAACAGCACTCAGTGTAACAACTACACTGCTTTGGATGGCAAATTCACTTTATCCTCACACACCCACACTGACTCTACTCACCAGTGTATTTGTTGTGTTCTTGCATAATGAGTTCATTATTTGTCTTTGACATCCTGCTGCCCATTTTGTTTAATTTCTTGAGGTAAATTTTCTGCAGTATGGTGGTGCCACATAAATATAGCCCAGGTGGTGTAAGATATATAGTTTTCTCTGTTTTAAATTATAAGCTTGTTTGTGCTGAATGCGACCTGCATTTCACTCAAAGGTGGTAATCAGTCAAATAAATGCTGCAGTAGCCAAACAAAAACTCATTCATCAGGAAAGTCATGGACTGAAAGCACTGCTAATAATGTCAAGTACTAATCACATGGACAACAGGATGGATAATACACTCTTAAAACATTCCCAATCCATTTTGTGTTGATCTTTGGTTCAACACAATATTTACAAGGTTAACGTTTGTTGACAACAGGAAGATACTAGATACATAACTTGATTCAAAATGTATTAAGCCTAGTGCTGTTAAAGAATATAAACCTTTGTACTTAGAAATTCAGGAAAACTCAACCTAAACACCACCCCAGGTTCCACAGGTTCAATAATGAATCCTCTCACTCACTCTGATGTACCTGGTACTATTAATTGGTTAGAAATAGTCATCTCCTATCAAACATTTTTTATTTACAGTGTCACATTCTACAAATATGTGATGAAAACTGACAGAGTAAATAATTTGTTAATGTGACGACTGGGCAGCAAGAAAAAAATTGTTTGAAATTGTTCTTTTGTGATATGAAAGCTTCCGCTGTTAGAAAATGCTCTTCACCTCAGACAAGCATTTCCTTACTGTATCTTCCTGAGGCCATTATGCTTTTTGCTAAAAGGGCATATTCCCATTTATTTTGTTTGGTTGTACATGTAATCACCCACAGAAGAACTTTGGTGTATTTTGGGAATCCATTGGGAAATTGAGCATCTTAATATGTTTCATAAAATGCAATCTGACACCCACCAGCACAATTAGTAGGATTAGCACTCATGTACAAATGTTCACTGAGAGACATCACACCTACAGTTTAGCTCATGCACAACCTGTTCAGATGTTGTTGTTCATCCTCTCACCTGATCTCTAACTCATCGATGCCCTCTCTACACTGCCCTTATGTGTTTCTTCTCCTCTCTTTGCATCTCTGCCACCCTCATGTTATCCATACCTTCTGGTGCTTGGCTTTCCCCCATCACTTACTCTGTTTCGTAGTTTTTTTTTTTGTTTTGCTCCTGTTCCATGCCTTCTTTCCACATTTTTCTCCTTTGAGCCCGAAGCACTGTGAACTCTTAAATATTTCACTCCTCCATCCTGTCAAGAGCTCGGCCCCATTCTGTCTTTTTTCTAGCTTCCCTGCTTTTCTCTCCTTCTCAAGCTTCAGCTCGAGTCATGTCTGTCTTTCTTCCAGAAGTTCTGTGGTACAGAAGTGGTACAAGTGGTACAAGTATCAAGTATGTGCTAGTTTTGCTATTAGTATGTGCTAGGATATATTAGTGTATGCTGCATAAATTACCCAGTACATGTTACCCAAAGGTTTGATGCCAAAATCCACAAGTCATGAGTCAGAGCAAAGGCGGTCTCACTGTGTTCACACAGACGATAATGGAGTAGTTAAATGAAGAAATATGAAATATAACCTAAGCTTATAGAGTTTAGTAAAATGACAAGATGGCGTTCCAATGTTGGTCAAAACCAGTTAAGTCATCAGGGATGGTGCCAGTAATGAAGAGGCAGTATGACTCATACCAGATATTTCTCCTGTTTATATTGAGCAATGAACATCAGGGAACATCTGTCCCATTGTTAAAATACTGATCAGCTCTTTTCCTATAAAATTCATTCACTTATATCTGATGCCAAAAATAACTGAAGTTTTATTACATTTCCAAGTTTTATTATATTTCAGAATCATTTATGAAGCAGTTACTATAATTAAATTCTGCAGAATTGCAGGAGACATATTCACATACTGTCTAGCTTATGTGAAATCACACTTTAAGAAAACCATATTTAATACATCACACATTACATTTCCAAACATCTCACCTTTGGTCTTGTCCACCTCTTTTTCTTTACAACTGTCTCCTACAAACATTCCTTCGAGAGAGTTTACAGCATTCACTGTGAACTTTGAACTCCATTGGCAGTACTGTAGGTTGCAGTTGTTACTCCACTGTTTATTTGATGTTTACTTCGAGTATTGGCAAATAGCTTTGAAAATAGCCCTTGGTACGTAAGCTTCCCTCGGTTGTGTGGGGGAATCTACAGAAAGAATGTGCTTGTGGAATGGGAATTCAGTAAATATCTGTCAGTGCTTTGGTAACAGGTGTTAAAGGGAAAGGAAGCATTCTTCAGTTGCTAGTCTAGGTTGTTACCACATGCCAGGTCCCTCTAGTTTTATAGATAGTTGTTTGCTTGTTTTTTTCTGCAAAGTACTGGAGCTTTTAAGTCTTTCTGAAATATTGGATTTTGTGCAACCAAAGCAGTTTCTCAAATTTGCTATTCTTTATTTAACACATTTTTGCTGTTTTAAATATGTCTCCCTAACACATTCTTATTGTCACTGTTGCTGACAAATAGTAACATTGTATGTTTCTCTATAAAACAAAAAACCTTTGATGCCAAGGTATTTTTCAGTAAATGAAAGGCTTCTTAAAAGCCTGAACCATTCCTGGATAAACAAAACAGTAGGTCAGTGATTGCATGACATGAACTGGTCACACAGGTCAGTCTATAGACCCTCTGTTTTGTCTGGCAGTAGCGGGGTTAACTCCACTGGAGTTTTATTGGCTAACAGTAGGCGTGGCGCTGGCAAACACACATTACCTTAGACAGGTGAGAACATTCAAAGAAAGGGGAACAAGGAAGGAGCACCCGCAGGAAAAGACTTTTTGATTCTTCACAACTGGTCGGCATACAACTATCGCTCCACTTAGAATGTGAATTCACCTTCACCTTGTACTCAAGGTTTCCAGATGGGAAGCTGCGTGAGCCAGTACAGTGGGTAAGCTTGAAATGAAGCCCTTTTCTTTCCTTCACTTGTGGAAATACCTGTGACCATTCAGGCCATTTGAAGTCCTGTTGACTTAGCAGGGAGGAGAGGTGTCTGAGATTACATGACTTGTGTTTTGGACTGTGATTGTTCGTTTCTTGCAGCAGAGGTCTGAGAAAGAGTGAAGTGCACTGAGGTAGCTTCATGCCGTCTCAACAAGTCAGGTCCTGACATTGAAACATGCAGCAGGCATAAAGGTATTTTTTTGAGTCAAGAGCCTCTCAAGTAGGATTAATGTAAGTTGCATCTTGTGTTAGAGTAAGTGCAGTAATGTCATCAGTTCATGTAGATGGAACAGGGAAGAAAAGAAGAGGAAACTGAACATGAACTGAACAGGCCAGTATCAGATTTTTTATAATAAACCTTCTTCATTCCCTTATATCAAACTGTGCTGTTGATACGCTGCTAAGTTTGTAATTACACTCATTCTTCAGTGCCTCTATCTTTTCACAGTTTATTTAGTAGTCGTTTTCACTGTGGTGGGCCTTTTTATAATGACTGTCTGCTGCTGGCAAGTGCTACAGTAATGCACTGTGGCAACTTGAAGGCTATTGATCGCCTCTCCTTAAAAGAGACACAGAGGGCTCATGTCCTACAAAGACAGATCATAAACATGTCCGATGTGATGCTCTCCTCAGACACAGTGCCCCAGGGTAGGTACAGACACATGAGCAGCTGGGTGTTTTCCTCGAGCGCTTACATTTCTATCACGTCATGGTCCAAATATTGCAATAATATTTGTGTTCTTTATGAAGAACATGCCCCTGTGTAACTGCAATTCCAGAAAGGTGATGTTATGGGAAATATGCAACACGGTACAGCACAGCACTGGAGTTTGTCTGTAAAAGAATGTTTCCTCTGAAAACAATAGTCACCTGTAAAGTGAAAACTGCAAAAATCTTGGCTCGAGTTTCTGTTTTTTTGTCATTTACCTTTGTCTGTCGATGACACTCACCTCCTCTAAAGACAGAGGATTACATTACCGTCTTAGCATTGGCCAAGTCATATTATTATTTGTAGATAAAAATTGTAGTGATGATTAATTTTAAGCTTAATGTGGTCTCTGAATCAGGCATCTTAAGTAAGAGCGTAAAACTCTTTCCTAATTATAATCTGGCCACAGAAGAAGGTCACTTGATCTTATTACTGGCTGCAAATGTCTGGCCATCTTGTTGGTGACAGGAGAATTTCAGCTCATTTCATTAGTGAACTAGATGCTGTAACAGGCCCCCAACTTTCAACAGGACAGAGCCCTCCTTGAGCTCTGTTGGCTCTTGACACTTCCTTCATGACAGGGACTTTTCCCTATGATCACATAAGTCATTAGTCTAGTCATATTAGAACATGTGTAATCAACCTTGCAGCCAAAGGAAATGACACATCTGATTCAGGATAATACAAACATTACTGCCAACCAGCCCCACCCATGACGGTGCTTGAGACTGTGAGACCAGCTGTTTTAAACTTTTAATGACCTTTTACTTTTTACTGTTTCACTTTACTACTTTTACTGCTTTTGTTTTTCATTGTTTTCATTATTCAGAAGAAGGACAGGAAAGATATATAGATTAATACTGTAAAGTTCAGACTCATAATGACAGCGTCAGATTAGTAAACAATATGCCACCAAAGGAGTATCTGAAATTCAGAACAGATGGCAGGGCCAGCCTCTTGCCTAAGTGGTAGATAGCAGGTATTTTGTGTTTTACAATAGGGTGTAATATCTACAGTAGTTTAGAATATCACCCAACCTGGGTGGTCGCAACCCAGGTGGTCTGAGGGTGTAACGTCTCACACAGGTCACATTGAAAGACCGTGGCGGAACTGTTATCAGATCAGAGGTCAGTAACCAGGCCGCTTTGAGTATCCTATTTACTGTGATCAAAGTGGGCGACTGATCCCAGATGGCTCTTGATGAAACACCAGCTGTTGAGGTTTTTTTCACCACAGAGCTGAGACACAGTTACCCAGAAAAAAAATCAGGTTGTTTCTTGTTGAGAATTCCTGATGCATTTAACTTGGAATTATAAGTGAAGATCAAAATGCTTTTCAATCTTTCTACCCTCTTTGTTTTTTTTCTTCAGCTGCAGTCACTCACTGCTTTCACCCAGCTGTCATGTACAAGTTTACATCCTGCATGGTAAACGCATGTGTATTGCTTTCTTCTTGTTACTGTATTGCATCTATTGCATCATTTTACTTAGATTTGTTAGACCCGCATAGTGAATCTTTGGCTTTAAGAAGAAACACACTTTATACCGGCTCAAGATAGTGCTATAGTTGGGTGTCTTTAAATTTATTTCTAAGTTTTACTATTGCTATATAGCCCACGATAGCATTAACAGACTGTAACTCACCAGCGGTATCAGAAAGTGGAGAGAGACAGGAACTGGGCTAGCCGGGCTTAGCATGCTAACTTCAGTCAAAGAAAAGAAGTGATAGAAATAGAAAGAAACAAAAGGATTGCTCTCCAATACTGGAGACAGCTCTTGGCGAGTAAAGGAATGAACCTTGATAATGAACTTGCGATGTTTCCGCTAGACTGGTAAGTAAACAGCTGTTAATGCTAACGTTGGCAAAGGTTTCATTTACTTTCAGTTTTACTCACTAAAACATGTGTTTGTAATATTGAGGTAGAGGCTTTGAGTGCATTTCCGTCATAAAAAATTTGCAAAGGGGATTTTTTTTTTTTTTTTTTTTTTCAGTTTTAAAACATGCATTGTTCGAATCCATATTAACTTTATTCCAATGTTCCAATTTTCCCCTGCCTTTGCTGGTGCATTGTTGCATATCTTGGTACGTTACCGCCATTGATAGATCAGTGAAATAATGCAAAACCATTGCCAGGATTGTGTAGCATGTAACCTCTGTATATGTGTGCTTGGGAATAAATTGCCCCATGGCACTATTAGTGGCCAGAAACTCCACATGGTTCCTTTAAATGCAAAATGGGTTCCAATCATGTCAGACATTTCAAGGAAAATATTCTTTTACAATGTAATAATATAGTGATGCACACAATGCCCTATGGGGAAACTGTGGTGTTGTCACTTCCTTAAAAAGACACATATGTGGCAGATCCCCTGTACAACAGACATCTCTGGCAGTAATGAACTACAGCATAGTCGCCTCATAGCATCTCCGGGGCTTTCTCACTGCGGTTGGAGTCACTCTGCAATCTGAACTCTCGCCGCGATAACACACCCTGAGTGACTGTCAGATATGACCTAGATTTCAATTGCCCACTGGTCAGATGGACCACTGTCAGTGCATTATGAAGATATGGCCTCCTGTTGTAATATGGAACAATATTTATTCATCTGCTGTAAGTCATTCTGAAAAGCAGAGACATAATGTGCAGCAGATCATTAAGAGGACAGGCGGTGTTTTTCATGAATCATAAATCATAATTTTGTTTTTGTTTTGTTTTCTAATTCTTTAGTCGTTTTACGCTTCACGGTTCATTAGGTTGTTCTTCAGTGCAACCAGAATGCTTCATTATTCCATGCCTCCAGCTTTGATAAGTGTCTGATGGAACAAGACAAAAAAAAAAGAAAGAAAAAAAATCAGTTAATAATCACATTTAGGTCTGCCACCTTATCATCACACTTTTTTCACCAATCTGCTATGGCAGATTTAGATGAAATTCATCGCACCTCTGTAAACACCTGAACTCATAGCCTCCCACTGTCACAGAGGGATCTTCAAAACATCTTATCACACACCCTTCTGACCTGCCTTGCCTTTTTTTTTCCACCTTCCCTCAGGCAACGTATGTGTAGTTGCATTTGAAAAACATCAGGCTTCAAAAGCCCCCCCCCCCCCTCCTTACTTACAGCTGTGATGAGAACGATGAAGTGTGCAGATAAAGTGATGCAAACGCTGATGTCAGAAAGTGAAAAAACTGACCAGATAAAAACATTGCTGTGTGTGTTTTGTTGCTGGTGTCCTGATATCTTAGATACAGTTATCAGTTATAGATAAAATTAACAATGACAGATGGAAGCCCTGATCAAAAGCAGCTTGTTTATCATCTATAAACACAACTGCACTCCTACTTCTTTTCTGATTTGTTTTGCAGATATTTTCATGCAGAATTAAACCTTATCATGAAGAGATTAATGAATAAAATCAAGGCAGTGGGTAAAATATCAGAAAGGAGAAAGGAAATAAAACAAATATAATCAGACCATTAATAGAGCAAGTATCCCACATTTTTATAACTAACCGAGCCATGCCTCTCTCTCTGTCATGTGCAGCCAGGTACCGGTCAGTGCCAGCAACGCCAAGGATCGGGAGCTGCCCAGTGCCACCTTCCTGTCTGCCAAAGTGAATCTGGGGCTGGCCCTTGGGGAGAGCGAAGAGTGCCATGCCAACCAGGTTGCCACACCAGCTTCAGCCAGCGAGGGCAGCGCCAGCCTCGGAGAGCCAGAGGAGGATGGGAATCACTCCCATCACTCCCACTCCCCCGCCTCCAGCCAGTGCAGTGCCACATACAGCAACCTGGGTAAGAACGACACATGCGAGAGGAAGACGGTTTCTTAAACTTGTGTATTTATAAGAATGTGTATTAGTATTGCATATGGCTTATATGAAGCTGAGAAAACTTGTCTTAAAACAGTAGTTAGTGTGCTGCATAGGTAAGTGCAGGTACCACAAAGTCTGCAAGCTTTGTTCCTCCTGCGTAGGACTGATTTTGACACAACACTGTAACTGCCACCTCTGCGTGTATTCATTTTCATCTGGAGTTTACGTCGCAGGAAAAAATAGTTTGTGTCCTTCTGCGAAAAGACTCCATTTGCCGTAATTTACAATGAACAAGGTCCTTTTACTGTACGTTTTTTTATGCTTCTCAAAAAGCGTGAAGAGAAAAATGAGGGGGAGAATGCAAATAAGCTGCTGAACGTGCACTACAATCCCTCAGAGCTAGACAAAACTACAGATGGTTAAGTTCCACAGTGTTTGGCCTGCAAATGTTTTTTTTTTTTTGTGTGTGTGTGTGTGTGTGTGTGTGTGTGTGTTGTTGTAATAGTAACTAGAGTCAGTGGGTGAATATTTCGAGGATATGTCGTTCTTCAGTTTCTGCAGTTCACCTCACTCCTACTGTAAGACGCTGACTTTTTTCAGCATCAGCACATCTCCATGTGTGACAAGTCATAATTTATTCCCTGCTAAATAAGGTGCAGCTGAAAATCTCAGAACACATCTTCTCATCCACAGCCTGCAAGTTGGAATCTAGATTAACCTGAAATAATTTATTTCAGCGAGGGGTGGAAATCTTTGTCCTGAGGTTAGCGCCTGTGTATTGAGCATGCTTCTCTCCCTGCTGAGCTGGGACTAATTCTCATCAAGGCTATTCGCTTCAGCAGATTTATTGGACATGCAGAAATGAACAGAGGGTGGATCACTCTCATACATCAAGACATTATGCTATTTTTTTTCTATTCTTCCATGTTTCATTGCCTTTGTCTCTTTGCATTGTTTCTGAAAACCATATTTGATATGACTGAGTCTGAAGTAGAGCTACACTAATAACCACATTATAAGAACATGTACTTCACGACCGTACCGTACATGACAGACCGTACCTTAAATAATTATGTGGTCCGACACTGGTATTACAAAGGTATTAAAGTCCACAGCTGAATTATTTACTTACTTAGAGACGAAACAAAAACAGACAAATCTGTTATAATTCTGTGTTTCTCTTTATCTTATTCTTTATGTCCACGACATCACCTGAAGCTAACGAATGGTATCGAAATAACTGAGAAAAAAAGTCTAATTTGCACTAAGGTTTGTTTTTGATGGGAAAAGCAAGATAGTAGACAATCATCGAGAGACACAAGCATATCTGTAAATCTTGTGCTGGTGCATCTACTATCTCACAAAAGACAAATTCACCAGGAGCCCTGCTGTTTCTTTCTCAATTCTGTTATTCTACACGAATGTGACAACACTTTAAACAGTTATCCTGTTTTTAAGATCATTGTTTCAAGTGGTTAAAATTGAAAGAATTTGGAATGAGACAGCAGTGGCCAGATTTATTTATTTGTTAATTTGTTTGTTTATTTGAAGCAAGACATCCAAATGGCAAGGGAGACACATTTTGGCATATGTTCTCATTATTATTAAAGCTTAATGCCTTAAGATTGTTGTCTCAGCAGCCCATGATAGTAGAGTACATCAAATAACAAAGAGGCCCAAATCCCCCGTCTCTGGTTTATAATATTACTGCAGACGGCCATGTTGCATTCCTCTAATACCGTGATGATGAAGTTTGTATTAAATTCCCCAATTTGAAGCCGTTTTTTTTTTTTTTTTTTTTTTTTTGTGACAGTGGCCATTTTGTTATTTGTCAGCAGCTCAGTATCACAGGTTTGGTGGTGGTGGTAGAGCGAAGGGAGGCAGAGAGATGGGCACAGCTGTCAAACATGCAGGCCACTTAAAACACAAAGCTCTCTGTGTGATTGAGCAGGGTTTGAGAGAAAAAGTGGTAGAAACACAAAGCGATAGGTCAGAGAGAGTGGGTTTGTGGAGCAGATGCACTGCCGAGGTGCTTCACTGTGTGTTTTTTCACTCACGTGTGTGTGTGAGTCGTTGCACTGAATAGACTCTTTTTTTTTTTTTACATGGGTATATGCAGACTGGGTACACTGTGTTTGTGTGTGTGTGTGTTTTTGTGGGGAGATATATTGTGGATGTGCTAAAAGCTCCCTGGATAAAGCATGACGAGCTGCCTGCAGCCTAATTTGACTCTTCTACGTGCCGCTAATGAGGAACAAGGCAGGAGCTAGGAGTTGGTGTCTTTGTCTGCCTTCAAACATTGTGCAGTGTGTCACATTTGTTTGGGAGGATGTGTGTGGCCTTCAAGATTAACACACAGCCACTGAGTGCGATGCCTGTTTTTAACTTTCCACATCTCTCGCCTTTTCTACTTGTCAGGATCTCAGGATTGATTTACCATCTCTCTCGCTGCTCTTCACTTTTTTGGCTGCAGTAATATTTCCTGCTCACACGATTTAGTGGAGAATCACTTTCAATTGTCTGTCTCTCTCTTTCTCTCTCTCTCTCTCTCTCTCTCTCTCTCTCCCTCTCTCCCTCTCTCCGTCTCTCCCTCTCACTCGGTATATATACAGTATACACACACTTGTGTTTTAATCAGAGCATCAGGCAGTAGGAGGCAGAGCGCTCTCTGCCTCGCTCACTGAGAAATCTCCAGTATTGGTGGGAGCGTTGAGCCTGCCTGTTGGCACCAGCGGCTCCGCACAGACTCTCAGGGATGGAAGCAGAGAAAAGCTTTTCACTCTGCCTCCCTACGCAGCCGCTGCACCGTGTTTACCTAAAAACTTTGAGGCATTAGTGGAATTGAGGTAGGCTTGTTTTTCCTGTTTTCCCACCTTATTGCTCGGTGTTTGTCTCTTTCATCACCTGTTTATCTCGCTGTTATCAGGTGCCTCCTGTTCGTCCCATCGCCTCTTTATATATCTCTTTCTCTGTCACTTCCCTCACTTTTACCACCTCCAGCCACCTGCTCCACTGCTCTTGCTTCAATCCTCCCCTCTGTTCCTCTTTATTCTAGCCACCTCCTCCATCGTCTCCTGTTGCTGTGGTGTTAGTTTGATTGCGGCACGATGTGTGAACAATAATCACTCTGCAACAAGTTCATTCATCTCCTTGCGAAGAAATGATGGAAAATTTCAGCCTCTGTTTACTGAAATTGTTTATGGAACGGCTTCATATGTAATTATTTTATATATTTGATATATCAAGGTTAATAACAGTTAATTTTTTCACTCAGTAGAATAAGTCACTTTCCTTTTAATTTGAAAGTGTTATAGCTTCATTGTATCCCAGTATAAGAGAAGATGAAAAAAAGGTGAATTTATTTTCTGTCATTTGTGGGTTTTAGTTTTGATTTATATCCTAAATATACTTAAATATAGAGGAAATCATTAACTCAATCCTATTGGAGAATGTAGTCATTTTACTGCAACTGCCTCAGTACAGTAAATTCTTGTTTGTGTCGTGCATGGCTTGTTAGCAATCTTTTTTTTTCTTCTTTCTTTATTTAATATCTATGACGATGATGATGATGTAATAATGTGCAGCAGAGAGAATGTGATGCCTCATTTAAATTTGCATGCATTCGTACACGCAGTTGGCTTGAGGAGATTGACAGCAGTAGCAGACGCACACACATTAGGTTCCGTGTTCTCGAGAAAAGAATTAGCTTTTTAATCCTGAGCAGATTTTCAAGAGATCGGGACTCTGCTGTTTTATCTCCTGGACGTGGACACCCGTCAGTTTCAGTTTATCACCACTTTTCACAAAATCTGTCACACGGTTTGTGTAATTGAAATCTGACCCTTTTCCCTCACGGTGAGATTACAGCATCCTGTGTAGTTATGTTATAAGGCCATTTCTACAATTGATGACACTAAAAGGTTTTTTTTTTTTTTTAAGAGAAAAGGTGTTGCACATGTTATTCTGGTAATGTTTAGTCTTGGTTTCTCTTTCTACTATTTAGATTTATGTTATATTTTTATACTTTATTTAGTCTATTTAATTATTGTATGGTATTTAGCCTTAAATTGCACTTTGCTTTTTTTTTTTTTTTTTTTACGCTTGTTATCCATCTTATATGTATATATATATTATATATATATATATATATATATATATATATATATATTATTATATATATGCTGTATTTCTGTAACTGAAAGAATTAGTCGATTACTTGGATTGTCAATAACAAGAAAAATAATTTGCAGACTTTTTGTTAATCATATAATTGATTTAATCAAGTCATTTTTCAAGCATAAATGTCAAACATTAGCTGGTTTCAGCTTCTCAAATTGTCAATTTGACACTTTCTTCCATTTCATATCATTGTAAACTGAATTTTTTGAGAAGCTTTGATATTTGGTATTTTTCACAGTATTTTGACATTTCATCGGCAAAACAATTTGATCAAACAAATAATCTGCAAATGAAACATTTTCGATTTAGCCAGGTGTACCTAATAAACTGCCAACTCAGAGTATATTCTTGAAGTGAAGTGACAGTCACAAACTGGGTGAGTCTTATGTAATAAAGTTAAGTCACAGGCAGCTTGCTGCCATAAAAGATAAAAGATGGAAAGAGACGGTTGTTTTCTTGGATGGATTACTGCAGATTGGTGGAGGAACACATTAAATATACTCATTCCAGGGAGGATTAACAAGACTCATTTACTTTATCCTGACTGCTCTTTCTTAAGGCTTCTCCTGCTTACTTAAAATGATGGCAGCATGAAGCACATGTGAGGAGTTATTCATACCGTTTGATGAGAATTTGTAATCATTAGCGGTTGGACTGTGTGTTCAAGCACATTCCTTTACCGTAGGGGTGGCAGCCTCCCTTCGTGGTCCTCCCAAATAAATTGGGTTGTTCCCTGGTTAAAAAGCTGAGCAGAAGGCTTGTCAGTGACCTTGTACACCCACTCAGTTAAAACCATCAGGCTGTTTCAATCCCATCATACAAAAGGCACGAGCCCTTTGTTCTTTTCATCTTATCAGACACTTTTGTCTGACCCATCTGCCTCCATGGTCCTCATCTCCAGAGAACATGGGGAGGGGAGTCCAATCAACCCCTCAACCCTCCAATTCCCTCACACCACCATCCCAGAAAAATAAGGTCACTTCAAGTCACTGATAAATGTGCCCTCCATGCTGCCTCTTTAAGCCTCACTGCAGAACAGAGCTGCAGATTGAGTCGGGCAGCTGGATGGTTGCAGGGATAACTTGTGCCCAGCTGCTCTCTGGCTTGAATTCTCCTCAGGGCCACCAGTCACCTCACGTGCCGTAGCACACAACCTTGTGTCACCCTCTCATCCTCATGAGAGGCAGCAGGCCGGTGGGAGGCTGGAAACACTGTGGGGGAGAAACAAGTAGCGGTAGACAAGCTGGTGGTGAAAGTGTTGAGTGATTTGTAATGCAGGTGTCATTTTTACTCTGGTTTGATTATTGTAAAAGTCACATTCAGTGATAACTATAAATCATATTTGATCCCTGTTTTATCTTTATCTGCAGTTTTATCTTTTAGAAATTCCTTTTTTTTTTCAGAGCATCAGAAGCTATTTTCCCAAAAACAACCTTTTAAGTGCTGAATCACTTGCCTTTTTGATTGTCTGCCCTCAGGGAAATTAATGAAAGCATCAAAACTTGAAAGTAAAATATAAAAAACTTAAATAAACGGCAAAAAGTGGCTAACTCACCTAGTTTAGATATTTAGCTTCATTTATTTCTTTCATATAATTGAACACATCCTGCCAGTGGTGGAAGACATATTAATAAGCTCTGCTTAAGTAAAAGTAGCTACATTACATTCATATTATATTTAGTTACATTATGACTTGTAAGCTTACTTGTATATCAGTGCTTTCTTTTATTTATAAGATGTTTTTCTTTTGTTTGTAAAATCTCAGTCTGCAGTGAGATAACTAGTAACTGTAGCTGTCGAATGAATGTAGTGGAGTAAAAAGTAGGCAACAATATTTCCCTCTGAAATGTAGTAGAGTAAAACTATATAGTACCAGAAAATGGAAGTACTCAAATTGTACTTATGTACAGCACTGAGGTGCAGATAAAAGTCCCATATTTTACACTTTTCCAATGATTTATTTGACGTTTTGATCCATAAGCAGATATATTTGTGGTTTTAAGAACCAAAAACCATCTCGGTGTAGTTTTACATCTCCTCTCTCAGGCCTCTCTCTGGAACTCTAGCAACAACAGGTCGGTGAGCCAATCAGAGGAGAGGATCTGAGCCTCTTTTCAGATTTTTCTGACTGTTTTCTGAGTGAAGGTAAACGCTCACAAATCCTGCAAAGTTGCATGGTGAGTCCAGGTGCGCAGGGCTTGGGGCATGGCTGAGAGCAGTGACTGTTGTGACATCACAAGTTCCAGAAGTCCTGACGGCTGGTTTTAAGGCTCAGTTTCTGAATACAGGCTGTGTGTATTTAACTGTGGACTGAGCGCTTTGATACTTTCACAGCATGTGAATTTATTTGAGTATTCTTCCAGACCTGCTTTGAAATAAAAAAAACACATGGAAATTTCACTTTATTCAATATGAGACCTTTAAAGCTGTTTGAAGCAACTATGTGTATCACATTATCCTGTCCACTCAGTTTTATATGGTGCAGTGGTTTTAGCACTTCATCAGTTTGAATTTCATTGATTCTTATTCACACTGAAAACATGGTGTTATCTTCCCTCTCTTCCAGGTCAATCCAGAGCCAACATGATACCACTGAAACAACCACGCAACACCAAGGCATCCAACGACACCTTGGCCTCCATCGACCTGGACGGCCTCGCTGACCAGCCAGCCCCCAAGGCCACACCACCACCACTACCTAAGAAGGCTGTACCTCGATCCAGTACTGAACCCAGCCTGGGAGGCAAAGAGCCAATGCAGGGAGCCCTGAGACCTCGGGCTGAGGCTAAACCTGGGGGCACCAATCTCAGTGTGGCCAACCCTCTGTACGACTTGGACTCCACCTGGGAGACAGCTAGTCAGAGCTCCTCTCTCAGCTCCGAGCCTCATCGGCCCCACAACCATGAAAGCGGTGACTCCCTAGAGAGGCCATCGGTTGCCGCGGCCACCAACAAGGGCCGCCCGACTAACAGCCCGTCCTCCCTGGTTCCTCAGCCTGCATCTGCTGCACCCAGTGGCACCACTGGCAGAGAGAGGAGGGCCTACCCAAGTACAGAGTCTCTGGCTGGAAGGGGTCGGACGACAGGCAGAGGTGGTGTTGCTGGAGGAGGAGGAGGTTCCAAACCCCAGAGACCTGCTCTTTACAGGGGTTTGGACAGCTGGGATGAGGTGGTGGGCAGGATTCGGGGTCTCCACACAGACACGCTGCGGAAGCTGGCAGCAAAGTGTGAGGACCGTTTCATGGCTGGCCAGAAGGATCACTTGAGATTTGGCACTGACAGCTGGTCCCACTTCAGGCTGACTACTGGGAAACCCTGCTGCGAGGCGGGGGATGCTGTTTACTACACTGCTTCCTA